ATTAGAACTGTTATTTATTAGAACTGTTGTTGTTTATTAGAACTGTTATTTATTAGAACTGTTATTTATTATAACTGCTGTTATTTATTATTACTGTCGTTATTTATTATTACTGTCGTTATTTATTATTACTGTTGTTATTTATTATAGCTGTTGTTGTTTATTAGAACTGTTATTTATTAGAAATGTTGTTGTTTATTAGAACTGTTATTTATTAGAACTGTTATTATATCTGTTGTTTATTATATCTGTTGTTATTTATTATAACTGTTGTTATTTATTATAACTATTGTTATTTATTATAACTGTTGTTATTTATTATATCTGTTATTTATTAGAATGTTTGTTATTTATTAGAACTGTTATTATATCTGTTGTTTATTATATCTGTTGTCATTTATTGTAACTGCTGTTATTTATTATAACTGTTATTTATTATAACTGCTGTTATTTATTATAACTGTCATTATTTATTATAGCTGTTGTTGTTTATTAGAACTGTTATTTTTTTTTACTGTTATTATATATGTTGTTTATTATATATGTAGTTATTTATTATAACTATTGTTATTTATTATAACTGTTGTTAGAGCGGAAAAACTTTGGACTGCAGCCGCCTGGAGTGTGCATGTGCCACGTCACACTTGCAGAGCTCTTCATGCCTCCCTTGGGGATTCCCCCGAAAATCTCCACTCTGTGGGAGCGTTTACATGGCACAAAATTTGAGTGAAACTGCCTCTTTATCTCTGCAGTTCGACTGTTCATTTATACAACACCAGCCCCCACCCTCGCTGAATCCGGAGGTTTTCGAGAAACCTCTCGCAGAGTTGTTAACACATGCACACTACACTAAAGGCGTATATTTTACGCACGCGTGGACCAATTGCATATTTCTATCAATAATGGCGGCGGAGTATAACATACTGCTTTCTGAGCTACGAATGATGGAATATATTTTGATGTACGCTGGAATGTAGCTACTGTGAACAACATTGGTGTTCGGATGAGATGCCAGTCGGATCCAGTTCTAATAACTATTTATTGAATGAGCCTGTCGAGGCGTATATTTCACACGTCGTGCTGGACTACAACATAAAAAATGTATTTATTATTTTATTAACCTTTATTGAACCAGGCAAATCCCACTGAGATCACAGATCTCTTTTGCAAGGGAGGCCTGGGCCTGAAGGCAGACTAACATGCATGTTTTTGGTCTGTGTGGGAGGAAACTTGAGTACCCGGAGAAAACCCACGCAAGCACGAGAAGAACATGCAAACTCCACACAGAAAGACCCCAGGTTCGACCGGGGATTGAACCCAAGACCTTGCTGTGAGGCAACAGTGCTAACCACTAAGCTGTCATGCTGCCAAAATGTGCTAAATAATAACAGTATTAATAATAAACAGTATTTTCTGTTAGTGGTGGGAGATGTAATTAAGCTATTTAAGCTAAATGAAGCTATATGGACATTATGTAATTCAAATTCTGTGACAAACTGATGATGATGTAAAACATATTGCATGCTATTGAAGATGAAAATGAAGACATTAGGTTTTGTTTTTATTTATTAATTCAACACCACAAATTGCATGTCACACAAACACTGATAAGAAAACAGAACAATATTAAAAACACATTAACCTGAACTGTAAACTACATTAATGAACTGGACTCTCTCTGTCTTGTCATCCTGGGTACTGGCACCATGTTGTTTATCTGGCTTGTTCAGGCTGTCACTCCTTTGCTTAATGCAGCTTAAAACATTGAATGGATTAGAAAAAAGAACTGAGGGGAATTTTAAGTGAATAGTTGTTCCAACATCCCTCTCTTCACGGTCCTCCTGCAACGCTGAAGTGTATGCTCTTTCAGAACCAGTCCCTCTGGTGGGAGGATAGCTTCTCGCAGGAAAATTTAAAATAAAAACATAGTTGGTTGTTGTGTAAATGAAGTAAACTGAAACAAACGTTATTAAGAACACTGATTTACATGCTGTAGCATTGCTCAACGGCTATTGATTACCACCGGAGTGGGAAGCCTGACATCATCCTCGTCAGTGCTCGTTCGCTCAGAGACCAGTGTCGAGCTGTTAGATGAAACAGTCCTGCTTGGCATCAAATCTGTCGACTCGTATCCAAAATCCAGCTTTAAGTTTTGTTGCTAATGGGCTTAGAGCCCAGAGGAAAGTCCTTACAGACAGAAGTCCCAGGCAGTGCACATGTGCATTAGGTGAATGTACAAAATTAACAGCACCAACTAATGACCTGGCATGGCAACTACAGCAGATTTGGGGGTGGGGGTATCCTGGTTCTATTTCGTATAGGCTTCGCCCTTTAAGAGCTGTCGCTCAGTGGGTTTATCCCGTCATGTGAAGCATTGCACTGAACAATTAAATCCACACTCACCTGCTGTGTGGGCCCCACCCGGTCCGTATGAATTACGTTAAGAGCAGGTAATCGGCTCCCATTTTTCTTCAGCAAGCTAATAGCACTGTCAGAAGAACGAAGAAGGAAAATTGTCTAGCTTGACCAACCTTAGTTAAGACTGCCTGTGGCCCCGCCACGCCAACCTCCTGCCATCCCGGTGAGTTCTCCTCCCCGAGGAGAAGCAGACGAGCTGTCTTGTTTCAAGGTAAGCGCCGAGGAGTATTTATAAGTGGCAGGTCGCTACACGCTGGACGACGCCATCTTGTAATTTTCCTTTTATCGCCGACTCTCGGAGCAAATCGGATGGTTCCTCCGGGACAGGCGACGTCAGCAGCAGCTCCCCGCTGCTCACACCCTCCTGGAGAGCGTAGTGTCAGAACGAGGGGGGCTGAGCGAATGCTGACCCCCCCCGGACCTTTTTTCGCATCGACGACCACACCGCTCCCAGCCGTCGGTGCCCCCCTCTGGAGCTGCCCGGCATAATCCAGGAGGCGGCTGACATGAAGGGACTTTTTCCGTCCCTCTCCTTCCCCCGCCCAGATCAGATGATCTAGCGGGAAGGTTTCTGGGCTCCATTCCGGCTCGCCGTCCTAATCCCATCTGGCCTCGTTTCCCAGCAGTGACGTCCTACTGGGACGAGGCCGCAGCCAGTCCTAGTAGAATGGAGCGCCGGTTCTCATGTTCGCGCCCATCACCAGAGTGGAGGGGTTTCACCGAGCGGAAATTCCCTCGGTGCCCCCCTGGAGCCAAGCCTGGCGGAGGCTTTCGGAGCAAGATGTCCAAGTTGGACCAGCGTCCTGCACCTCCGGGTAAGCATGACAGATGGTAATGTCGCTCTCCAACCGAGCTCACAAGTGTGCATTCCAGGCGGCCGCAGCAAACAATACGTTAAACTGCTG